TGATTGTTGCGCAACATTTACTTGATTTTGATTGCCGTAGAATTCATTTGAAAAAATCATTTGCTCACTCTGCTTTACACTAGCTGGATTAAACTGTTGGCTAAAGTTAACACTGGGTACAAAGCTTTGTATCCCAGTAATCCCATTAGCCTCAACATGAGCCTTAGCAGCTTTATCATAAGACTGAACTGCCCCCCGTGAATTAAAAGATCTCTGTTGGTCAACATGGTTAATTATGGAACTATTTGAACCATAAAAATTTCCCACGTGATGATTTCCTCCAAAATTGGAAAGAGTCGTAGTATTAGCAGTTTCAGTCTTAGTCAAAGTCTCAGGTTGCCACATGTGCAGGCCCTGCTGATCATAGTTGCCATAAGATTCAGTCCAGCCGTCATGTTGGGCTTGATTACCAAGGCCTTCTAATGCTCGACTATCAGGCTGCCCAGATAGACTATTGTTCTCTCCCAGATATGTACCACGTGAAGCATAATCATCTTGATTCTGCAGATCATGAGCTTGGACTGTTGATTGAGTAGCTGCATTGTAGCTCTCCAATGAGCGCCATTCTTGTGCAATTGTATCATAATACCAACCAGGATACTGGGGATCAAAAATCATATGCTCAGGGTAACCATTATTAGCCTGGTTCCAGTGAGAAACACTTTTGGTTGTGCTAGTCTCCACAACATTCTCCAAAACAGACTGCGAGCTCTGTTGCATGTAAGAAAGCTCTGATTTCTCATCAGAAACCCCGCCCCATTCAGTAGCTGAATTCTCGTAGCTAACTTGGGGACTCACCTTTGCATCGTAACCATCCACTTGATACCACTGCCCAGTATTGTGATCATACATCCATCCCGGATACAGATTATCCCAGTACTGACTGCTATTCAAATCCTGATAATTTGCTGTCTGATCCATAGGATTCCCATTCATTTGACCATCCTGATGATGTAAATAATTGAATGAATTATCTGCAAGATTATTTCCTTCTTTTGCGGAGACAACCTCCCCTCTACCATTCACATTATCTTCCACTTGCCCAGGAAAAGCCCCAGAACTCTCACCTAAGTCACTGAAAAAATCCGAGTACGTACCAAAATTATGCTCACCATTGTCTGATACATCCGCGTAGAAGGAGCTCCAACCCACCTCCTTAACCCCAGAACCCAGAGATCCACCACTCAGGCTCGCTGCGGCAGTTGACTCAGATACAGACGCTGTCTCCTTCGGTCCTAAACCTTCGGTATTTGACTCAGCCATGTTGCCACTGTCAAGCCCAGAAGCATTCGCGCCAACCAATGAGGAATCACTCTGCTCATCTGCGTGTTCGCCCAGTAACGGCCCCGTTGCACCCACATCAACAGAATCGTTCTCCATATTAGGCTCGTGTAACCGATCCTCTCCACCCGAATCCTCGCCGATGCTCAGATTCGCGAAGGCCCTCGCGTCGTCTGATTCGTTTCCTTCCGCAAATTTCGGAGCACCGGACGACAATGACTCGGCGGGCCCAAAATCGTCGTCGACCAGCTTGTCAAAGAAATCCTCGTCTGTCTGATCCTCCAACTGGAATGGAGGATTTGAAGCCATCGACGGAAGAAGAGAGCAAAAACTAAAAAAGAAACCCTAACCTAATCCTTCCTTTTCGACAATATTCACCGCTTGATTTATCACTTGCCCTAAAAGAAATCACTTAAATCTCACAGCTATTTTCTCATAACCAAAACACCAAAAAAAAAAATAAAATCGTCGAAACTCGAGCTATCCTGGGGCGCAGACGTCGAGATCCAAAAACCAGCGCACCAAATCGAGCAGAAGAGGATCGAGATCTAGGGTTTCTAAGATCTCCCTGTCATTCTACAGACAAAATTCCAATTAACAACCCATAATATTCATCCAATTTCAATATAATTCAAGGCACTAAATTAAACATAAAAGTAAATTACAATTGTAATACAGAGACAGAGAGAGAAAGAGATAGAGAGAAATACTAGCAGATTTGTAAGGTGAAATTTTGCAGAGACACCCTGCGGCTTCGCACCACCGACTGTGTAATAGAGAAGAGCTCTTCGGTTCTTTTTGTTTTTGTTTTTTTTTGTTTTTTTTTTTTTTTTGTTTGGGGTTCAATTTTTAGATTTTATATTTTCATTACCCCAGCCGGTCTGCGTTTATGAATTTCCTTTCCTTTCCTTTATTTATTTTTCTCTGTGAAGTTTTATGTGCTTTTTTTTTTTTTTTTTTAAAGTTTTGGTTTTGCCGAGCACGTGGAGTTTTTTCCCTTCAATATTACCCGCGCCAGGTGTACGAGTTGAGTTTGGTGTTATTGCTATTTCCACTCTAAGTCTTTGCAATTGTCATTGGTTTACCTCTTGGGTGGAGCCTGGAAGAAGCAATTAATGGGCCGCCCGCAACAGTACTAGGGGGATACGGTCTAACCTAACTTAAAATAGGATAATACTGCAGAATCGGATTGAATTAGATCGAATTAAACCGGATTAAGATTGATAAAGAATGAAATTAGAACCAAATGACAAATAATTTCAATTTTAGTTAAGATTATATTTTTGTTTAATATATTAATTTAAAAAATAAAAAATAAAACAAAAAATTAATTAGGTTTTATTTTTAATTTTATCTATTTTCAGTTTATATTTTTAATTCGAATTAGAATTAGACTAAAAAATCTGATTTTTTTAATCTCCTAAATAGATTGAGTAAATGTTGTTTAGTTTGTGTTAATATAAGTTTTTAGATTGAATAGAAAAATGAAGGTAATTAATAAAATTTGATAAGAATAAAATGATTTTCTAATTTGATCACTAAAGTTTTATTTTTAATTGTAGAATTAATTCCTACTTTTTATTACATTTTAACGAAATTTAAAATAAAATAAAAATAATTTTTTATTAATAAAAAGTTATGTTGTAATTTAAAATAAACTCGGTAGACTTTTGTTAATAATTTGATCTGAAATTTTTTTGACAATTTAACTGACACATGTTGCGTTGTTTCTCGTGGGATTCCCAACCCTCTCTAAGCATATTCTGGAAGTCAACCAATTATAAAAAAAAAAATTATTATTCTTTACCACCATAATAATAATTAATGACAGTAATTAATAATCTAAATCAAGGATTATGTAATTGATTATCCGGACATTAACATACTATTTATGTCTTTCGTGTGCTTGGATCATTTTCTGAAACCATATAATAAATAAATTTTAAAACATTTTACTTTAATTTTTTTTTTTTAAATTTAACTTTTTATTTTTGCTCAATTCTAAGTTATTTTGGATAAAATCTTCAACCTTTGCTAATTTAAATTATAAATATAAAAATTGTACACAAAATCATATATCTATGTTTTATTTTCATTATATAGTCTTTTAATATTGTCTAGAATACCATATTTTTTTTATACTATGTAGAATAATACTCTTTACTAAATCCATGTTAGCTTTTTATATTTGGTTTTTGATCTTTGCTTTTTTGGTTCTCATCTTGGTCCACCGATCTTTATATCTCTAAATTTCAAAAAATAATCTCTTTTTTTTTGTTGCATTTTAAATAATATTAATTATATAAATTTAGTTAAACATAATCTTAAAAAAATTAAATCATATTCTAAAAAAATAAATAAATACAAAAGGAAGATTAAAACCTAAAATTTTACATTAAAAAATTTATATTATATAGAAAAAAATATAGATAAAACTTTGCATTAAACTCACTATCAAAAAAGTAATTAGTATGAATAATTTCAAGTTAATCATCAACTTAAATTCTATAATAAATAAATATTCAAATTATCTCCATAACTAACACTCTAAAATTGTACACATTTACAAATAAATATTAAAAAAATAACTGTTCAAATATTTTTGAATAATAAATGCACCATAATTTTTGACAATGCCAAAAAGTCTAATCAAAAAACAATGTAATCATAATATTTTTCTTTGATCTATGAACATCCTAAAATAAGTAAGATTTCTCTTTTTTTTATCCGAGCATAGTCGACTTTTTTTTTTTTTTTATAATGTGTCTTGGTTGTTTTCTCATCCACCCAAGTCTCTTATTTTATATATATATATATATACACTTAATTTAGGATTTTTAATCCTACCAAACACATACCAAATTCTAAAAAGAACTCACTTACATATATATATATATATATATATATATATAGTCTTTTATGTTATATGGGTTGAACCCACTTAACAATATCTTCTTTCGATCTTTGAGAATAATTTTTACTTTTCACCAGTTACTTTTAGCTTAATCTTACCACCTCAGCGTAAAACTAGTGTTCTCTTCACGTCATCATCTTTGTTAACATATTAATTGTACGTTAGTAGTGCGAATCTTCTTTAATGAGTTTATATACTATTGCATGGCTTTTATCCATCGAGATTTTTCCCAAGCTTTATATTTTTGAAAGTTTTTTGTCTCCCCCTCCTATACAAGAGTAACACATTTAAAGCTTAATATCTAGTAGGTATTATTGCTTTCTCGACGATCTTCTAAGCTAAGGTCTATTAACCTAAGGTGGAGGGAGATACTCCCCCCTTTTCAACACCCTCTTTATTTGTATCATTTGTACCAATTGTATTACTTATTACTGACTCAATTTCAATCCCATGTTTTTCACTAAAATTTTCACCACTAGCATGCTCAATTGTTAGTGAAAAATCAATTTTAATATTAATGCTTATCTTATTAGTTATCTTTCATTAAGGTGGATCTTCATGCTCTTAAACTACTATCTCTAAATCTATTAATCTCTTTTTCATTAGATTTCATAACTTGTATTCAAATTCTGCATCTCCATAACTTAAAAAAACACATGAAGTAACTTTGTCATTAAACTTTTATCTTTGCTTCTTAGATACCTATATGAAGGCTTTCTGACATGTTAGAAAATATTAAGACTAACTTTGATGCGGAAACAATAGGAAAAGATGTTTGTTTTTCTGCTTACAGAGAACTATTCTTAATTGTTAACGTTTTTCATTTTCTCCTGAATGCTACTAGAGTTGCAGGAATCTTTATACTCTAAAACCCAAGTCTATTTATGGTTTTTACTCAACGTGAGAGAGAGAATAGTAATATATATTTTTTGGGTGATATCTGCTTCCTTAATTAAACAGAAACAATTGATTCCTCCCTTATATACTCACCAAGAGTCATATCTTTTTATAATAAAGGTTTCTCTCTTATAAACTTACGAAGAGTCGTGTCTTTTCATAATGGGTGTTGTGGACATTTCTAATTTTATGTAACATCTCTCACTCAGCCACACAAGCTACACTAACCACAATATACTACCACATCAATATATCTCTCATGCATCATACAGAAAATTGGGTGTGTGACCAAAAGATAACAAGTAGTGTTATATTAAGTCATTATCTAACTAATATAATATTTTCATATTAATAATGTCCCAGATCATTTGAACATCACTATTATCATACATTATCCTCTATACTATAATTATATTACTTGGTTATATACAAAATATAACTGTCCAGGCTTATGTGATGATGTCGGAAAAATTCTTCTTTAGACACTCATAATAATTTATCTCAACTTGACTGCTTTTCTAACATGTTCCGCTAGACCGTATAAGTTGTGGCCCTTTGAAACATATTAAAGTAGCAACATCAAATCTTAACTTCATGTGATAGCTCCAAGTCGAAGGATATCATATAAGAAAGACACAAGAGTCCATAGGTTTCACACAGTGATAAAGTAGGAAATTATTTTGTCACTCCCAATATTGGTCATTATATAACACATACAGTATGATATATATATCACAATATAGCTCCCACTAAGTTGGGCATTTCACTCTTCTATGTCGTGTGAATCATAAGTTCATATACTACTCAAGTATCTAACTCGAGCCACTTGATCAACATACTCAATGTGTAACATCCCAAATCTAAAAATTAGGTTCGAGATGATGAAATTTAATTTTTTAAAATAGTAATAATATGTAGGGTTTAATTTTAATATTTTTTTTAGATATATTTATTTTGGACATCTTTGAAAAAAATTTTAGAAAATAGGGCCAAGCTAAAAATAATGGAGGACTTGTTTAAAAAAGAATTTAAAAATGAGGTCAATTCGTAAAAAAGAAGAAGCGGGCCACGTGGACACCCAATTAGCGGCACGACGAATCGCCGCACACCGTATGGCGGACACGCCGACACAGGCTCCACGCGGGAAGCCACACTTGTAATCTGCGTGTTAGGCCAATCGAACGGCTTGGGGCCACTCCCGTACACGTGAACGACCTGTATTGATTCTCCGAATAGGCTCGATCAAACAGCCTGCGTGTCTCCAATCAAACGATCCTGATGCATTTCCTAAATAAGTGCGATCAGACGACCTTCGTTGTGCCACGTAGACCCATACAGATGACTCTGATTGAAGAAGGAGAGGTATTTAAATCTCTCTTACCCAGCTCCCTAGAGAGACGTTGGTACCACCGTACTTGAAACCTAAAACGCACTGGTAAGCCTAAATTTCCTTTTCGTTCTTCTCGTTTCTCTGCCCTTAGCCACCTAACATGTTTCTGATGCAGGGTGACCGAGAGAAGCTACAAACCGCAAGGGAGGAACGACAGAGCTCAGTTGAGCCATCATACCGGAGGACCAAAACTGTCGGTAAGACCTTATTTTTCCCTATTTTCTCTAAAAAACACCTCCTAACCATGATTTAAATAAATTTTCACCAGGAACTGGCTAAAATCAGTTTGGCCAAGGGAAAGAATTGTCGGAGAAGGAGGACCAGGCGGTGGATCACGATGGTGCCGCCGCGTCAGAACCCCAACCCGACCCCCGATGAGATTTTTTTTGCATTTTTTGCTATTCCTTGCGTATTTTCATGTCGTTTCGATGTACGTTTTTTATTTTACGAGGAAAATTCAAGAAATCTAATAACCGAAAACTATTGAGAGCCGGCAGCGCTGGGATACCGACTTAATATAAGAATCCCTCACTCTTTTTCCTGTTACAATTAAATTAAAGCTAAATCAATAATAAACAAAAATTATAAACAGTTTGACAATTCCTTGATTAATTAAATACAAGTTGCCAATGAAGCCTGTAATCGATTTGTCT